GGGCCCCCGGGGGCCCCTCTTGCCAGTGTTGGGCCCACTTTTGGCCACTTCCATCATCAAAGAACTGCTCGCCCCACTTCTCCACTCTTTTGTTTCCGTTTTGGTCAATAGCCTCTTTATAAGCAGTTTTAAACCCCCAGCGTTCCTCCCAAGTCTCGAACCACCGCTCGCCCTGCAAAACCCTAAACCCTAAACCCTAAACCCTAAACCCTAAACCCTAGGCGCCGGGACCCGGGCCGCGGCCGCGCGCCGCGGGCCGCAAAGGCAGCTGCAGGCAACTGCTAGGGCCCCACGCTGTGAAACCCACATGCCACCAAACCCGCGAGGGTTTAGGGTTTAGGGTTTAGGGTTTAGGGGTTAGGGTTTAGGGTTTACCTGGGCGTTGCTCCCCTTTTTCTCAGCCCACGTTTCTGTCTTCTGGTCGCCGTCGAACTTCTCCTTCCATTGCTCTTCCCACGCGTCCCCGCGCCTGCACAAACCCTAAACCCTAAACCCTAAACCCTAAACCCTAAACCCCAAACCCTAAACCCTAAACCCTAGACCCCAAACCCCAAACCCCAAAACCAAACCCCAAACCCCAAGCCCCAAGCCCCAAGCCCCAAACCCCAAACCCTAAACCCTAAACCCTAAACCCTAAACCCTAAACCCTAAACCCTAGTTTGCCTGTTCCAGCCGGCCTTATGGGCCTCTTTTTCTCGGGGGTTTTCTCTCCAGCTTTCTCTCCACTCGCCCTCTTCGTTGGCTCCTTTCTTGTTGGCATATTTTTCTTCTTTTTCTTTTTTTTCTCCAAACTCTTCTTCAAACCAACTCACCACTTCCCGGTCGCTCCGCTCCCTGAGCCAAACCCAACGCCCGGCTAGCTCGCTAGCTAGCTAGCTAGCTAGCTAGCTGGGGGCGTCCGTGGCTAGCTAGCTAGCTAGCTGGGGGAGTCCGTGGGTAGCTAGCTAGCTAGCTAGCTAGCTGGGGGAGTCCGTGGCTAGCTAGCTAGCTAGCTGGGGGAGTGCGCGGCTAGCTAGCTAGCTAGCTAGCCAGCTGGCTAGCTAGCTGGGGGTGGCTGGGTAGCTAGCTGGCCGGCTGGCTGGGTGGATGGCTAGCTAGCTAGCTCGCTGGGTGGGTGAGTGGGTGGCTACCTAGCTGGCTAGCTGGCTAGCTGGCTGAGTGGGTAGATGCCTAGCTAGCTGGCTGGGTGAGTGGCTAGCTAGCTGGGCGGGTGCGCAACTAGCTGGGTGGCTAGCTAGCTAGATGAGTGGATGGCTAGCTGCTGGCTAGTTAGCTAGCCAGCCAGCCAGCTAGCTAGCTAGCTAGCTATCTAGCTGGCTAGCTAGCCAGCCAGCCTGCCAGCTAGCTAGCTAGCTAGCTAGCTAGCTGGCTAGCTATCTAGCTATCTAGCTGGCCAGCTAGCTAGCTGGCTAGCTAGCTGGCCAGCTGGCTAGCTAGCTAGCTAGCTAGCTAGCTAGCTGTGGCTGCTGACGTTCTTCTCCACTGTTTGCCGAACTTGATGACGTGTTCGTTTCCGCAATTATCTCTTTCGACTTTTTCGACGAAAGAGTCGCCGGCGAGCCAGC